GGAAACTCCTCTGCCAAAGGCCTCTCCCCAGTCACACCTATTCCCTTCCTCCTGGGATCCTCGAGCAAACACTGGGAAAGTTGATAACTGGAGAGTTACACTTTTAAGTCCTTAAAGGGTCGATAACTCAGGCCAAGATTTCTAAACAACTCTGCCACTGGGGAGGAGCTGTACTGAGAAGGCACAAAAGGTTTCTCAGCACCTTCACAGCAGGATGGAGAGATGCCTCCGTCTCCATTTCCATGGGAAACAGGCAAACTTGGGTCCGTCGTGCAGGATCTCTGCTCCCCTCCTTTGGGAGCTGAACCAAGCAGCAGGTTCCTTTTGTGAGCTGTGTGAGACTCTGGCAGGGCAGAGCAGCAAAACCTCCCCGGGCAGCTTTAATGTCAGGACATTGCAAGTCTGCGGACTGGGATTCTGCCTGGATGATCCCACCAGGGCACCCCATTACCTGTTTCTGATGCAGCCTGCAACTACCCAGCATCTGTGGTTTGGCAATGCAAATGTGACACATCCCTCCTCATTCTAACAGCGTCACTTTGGAAGAAGCACGTTTTCTGTTAGCTGTAAGAACCTAAACCCATGCCTGAAGATGGTATCTCTCACCATTCAGTTGGCCCAGACTCCCGTCCTACCTATCCAAGTGGCAATGAAGTGCTGCTATCCATAAGAGCATCCTTTAGCAGTCCCAAACAACCCAGTGACTTTTCTCTTACTACCCCCAGTAGATAACCCCCCTCCATTAGATAAACCCCCCATTTGGGTGGAGTGTTTCATTCTGCTGCACCTACTTGTATCGCAGCTGTATAAATCAGAGGTTTCTGTAGTACTGTGATACCCTTGGAAGCTGCAGGTGGAGGGATAGAGAAGTGGCAGAGCAAAAGGGCCATCACGGTGCACTGCAGGAGGGATGGGAAGGGTCATCATGTACATGTTTTTCTCCTGGTTGCCCCACGGATCATAGGTAGGAATGCAAGGGTACAAGCAGAGGAAGCCAGAAGAAGCTCCTGCAGTGTTAAAGTGTCTCCCAATGGAGATCATCAGCTGGATTTGAGCAAGAAGTCTGCCGCCAGACCTGCTTCTGAAGTGGTCAGTAGGAAATGCCTGTAAGGAAATCAAACCAACAAATCAAGCCAACCCAGAGGTCAAACTGACACTGTGTGCTTAAACTAAGCTAAAAAGGACCCTGTTGCTTCCAAGTCCGGGATCTTTAACTCTGGTAGTAGCCATAGTCAAGCAGAAGTGAAGAGATCTCTCTGATGGGATTCTCAGAGACAAAGATGTATTCTGAAGTTAGGCCAATGAGTCCTCAGTTCTGTACACCAGCCCTGATTCCTCCTGAAGAGGCTCCCGAGATGATCATCTTCATTCAGCTGAAGGCATCAGTAACAAGAAAACCTGATCTGCTTCACCAGGGATTAGACACAGCTTGACCCTTGTGAGGGGCGGTGATGGCAAGGGTAGGTGATATTCCCCATATCCCTCCCTCCGCAGGGAGGGACACCTCACACTAAACCATGCCACTCAAGGCTCTGTCCAGCCTGGCCTTGAACACTGCCGCTTCCTTGGCTAACCTGTTCCAGTGCCCCACCACCCTCAGAGGGAAGAACTTCTTCCTTATCTCCAACCTGAACTTCCCCTGTTTCAGTTTGAACCCATCACCCCTTGTCCTGTCGCTCTAGCCCCTGATGAAGAGTCCCTCTCCAGCATCCTTGCAGGCATCCTTTAGACACTGGAAGCTGCTCTGAGGTCTCCATGCAGCTCCTCTTTTCCAGGCTGAACAAATGGCTCAGACTCCTTCCTCGACAAGAACCGAGGGGCAGTTTTGCAGGAGTGTTCTGCTCTTGATTTCCCACTGGAGAGCTGTGGAGAAAAAGATCCCCCTTGCCTTCCAGCAGGCACTTACCCACCTCCCACTGCCACCAAGGCTGGCTGTTTCAATGGAGGCTCTATGCAGCTTCAGAGGGCACTGACACTTAACAGCATTTTGGAGCAGAAGGATCTGGCTTTACCCAAGCTGCTTGGCACAAGTGGGGAACAAGCAGTGTGTGACTTTGAACCAACCTCCCAACTTTCCTGAGTACAGCCCTTTGCCAGTGTCACAAAAGAGCCGGATAACCAGGACGCTCTTTCTCTGTTAAAGAGCAGTCTGATCCTCTTGACTTTTCTGCCCATTAGAAAGTAAAATGAGGCAGGGAATGACAAACTTATGCTGTCAAAACCAAGACAGTCACTTTGAAAATCAGTAATACCCCAAGGTGTTATTGTGAGTTAACAGCTCTCTCAGGCCTGAAGCACAGAGCGGGTATTAATGCTGTTCTCGCCGCCTTTCCCACCACAATCCCCGCTCCTCGAGAAAATCCCTGACATGGAATTCTACTTAAAGCAAGGGCACATTTTCCAGCTCGGTGCCCAAATGAAAAAGAATCCAGAGAGATGAGAAAAAGAGAGAAAAGGAACGTGCTACAGGGCCCCCTGTGCGTGTTATGTATGGCAAACCCCAAACATCAGCTCGTTCTTCTGGGGTGCTTTGACAGGCAAGTGACTCCCACTCCTTTATTTTGACTTGTTTAGTTAAAAGCAGTGTTGGAGGGGATGTGCAACTTCAGAAAGAAACACTGGAGATGGGGAATACTGACATGAGGTGCTCAGCTCTCCGCTTCACCCGCCTCATCCCTTCCTGCTCCTCAGCCCTTGCTGCCCTGAGCCCTCACTGGGGTGGCTCATCCCACAGCTATGAAAATGCACTTCCCAGCAAGCTTAAAAAGACCCCCCCAAAGTGATCAGCTCCCAGCACACGGGTGCTTTAAAGAGAGGTGAAACATGTGGGAAGGCTGCTGAACCTCCACAGGTTTTGAGGTGCCCTCCAGCTGTGTCCCTGTATTTCTCAGTTATGGAAATGCATGCCCCTCAGAGGGCAGGTTGTGAACGAAACAGATCTGAGCTGCCGTGGGTACCCCTTGTGTTCCTGGTCTGCTCAGGGGAGCTAAAACCCGATATATACAGCTGGTACCACTGCACCAGGGGAATACAGACAATTCAGGAGGTGATGTTTGGCACTGGGAACCTATTAACCCCCACTCCTAGGAACAGGCATTTAGCAGTTTGGAAAAGCAATGGCGTTTCTTTTCCTGAGCACCGCATATGGACAGATATGGCCACTAAATCCTGTTATCTCACCACAGACTTACAACACATTGTTCTTTAAAACTAAAGATACTTTGGAAGACTAGTGTGAAACAATTAACTCATCTTTAGTGGGGCCACTACATTCCACAGACTTACAACATAAACATTGTTCTCTTTCTACAACCTAAGTTAAGGTAAAAAGTACTTTATGTTTTCCAGGCACCAGCTTTTCTTATATCAATCCCCGCAACCTCCCCCCCCCCCCCCCCCCCCCCCCGTCTTTCTTTTACAAATTCTTTTGCTATGTGACTCCGTTTTGCTCAAGAGTTCTGGCCCTTTTTAACTTGTTGTCTAATCTTGTGTCTTTAGCGAGCTTTGTGTCTGTTACTGTAAACTGGTACAGTTATCCCCACATAACCACACCTATGATTTGCGAAAGCCAATACATCTATGTGTTTATCACGTTTGCGTGCACACACACACAGAGGCTCAGACACACGCATGCGTGCGTCCATCAACTCACAGGACACGGGCAGAACGAACAACCCAACAGTTTTATTGGTGACTTCGAAGAACTTCTATCCTGCTCCATGAATAAGGAGCATCACGCTGGGGCTCAGGGCGCTTGTGGGGCAAGCAAAAGCCATTTGTCCTCTGCTGACACATGGGCACCAGGAACCCCTGACCAGCTTCTGGGATCTCTGAAGTGACAGCAAGGACATAACAGCAATGTCACAAAAGCCATTGGGGAGGCATTTGGAACTGAGTGAGCATTAAGCTCCCTCCCAACCCAAACCACTCGGTGAGTTTATGCTTCTATGAACATCAAGGAAATAAGAGCTGGGAAATAATAGCTGAGAAAATAACAGCAAGGAAATAGCATCTAAGGATATAGCCAAGGAAGCAACATCAAGGAAACCCTCAGAAGTTCCTACACGGAACAAGAGCTGAACTCGGCACCAGCACTGCCACCATCACATTTACCTTATGTCAGAGACCACCTCTTCCAAATCTGACTCCTCCTCCCGAGCATCAAGCTGAGCCAGGGCCGCCTCCTGCGGGGCAGGGATTAGAGAGGTGAGAAGCAGGCATGGGGCAGGGACCGGGTAGAGGGACAGAGCTGGCGCCTGCTCCTGCCCTTACCTCCTCCTTGTCCCTGTCCGTGTCCTTGCTCCTGCTCCAGCACTTGGGCCGCAGCTTCTGAAAGCACCTGGAAACAGGGAGGAGCAGGAGGATGAGAAGCAAAGGATGAACCCCTCCAGTGCTGGAGGAGTTGGGGGGCTCTGGGCAGGGCTGGGTGCTGCTGGAGCAGAGCCTGTTGGGGCGGGGCAGGGCAGGGCAGGGCAGGAGTTACCGCTTCAGGCTCCATCTGCTGCTGCCTTGGGAATCCTCGGCACGTTTCTTGGCACAAAGCTGGTGACAGAGAGACAGAGACTCGGAACATGGAGGTTTCCACATGGAATTCTGCAGCACAGGGGAGCCGGAAGGTTCTTCCTCCGGCCCAGTGCCGTCTACACACGCGCAAGGCTGTGCCAGCAGCCACGCCTTTAAGAAGAGCCCCCCCTGCCTCCCTGCCCAGCTCCCCGCTGCTCCCCGCCTCTGGAATGACCCAGAGTTCTCCTCAGCGTTGTTAATTTCTGCCTTTCTCCTCTGCACAGAGCTCTGCAGGCTCCCCGCCCCGCCCCTTCAACCACCGCCTGCAACACGCGCCATGCCTTCTGAAGACATGAAAGCTCATTTGTCTATTTGGAGGAGAAGGCCCCCAAAGGGAGGTTCAAACTCCGCAGCAACGATTGGGCCCCTGCCCTGTGCCCGGGCACGGCCCCGACACGCCAGAGCCGCAGCACCATGCAGAAAGGCTGGGTATGGGCTCAGGGCAGGGAGCAGGGGCATTGCTGCACGGCTGGAAGCAACGGGTGCTGCAACAGAGCAAGGCCAGGCCAGGAGTTGGGGAGGGGATGCTTGGGGCGAGGGACTGCAGGCTAGAGCCTGGTAGGGGCTGATGGCAGAGGCTGTGATTAGAGGGAGCTGCAGCCCCCCTCAAGGAAGGAGCTGCTGGGAAGATGCACAGCAGAGCTGGGGACAGACCCTGGCAGGAGCCAGGACAAGCTGCTCCCAAAAGCTCTGAACACCTACAAGCTCCAGGGTGGGGTACCACAATGAGCTCCAAGTCTGGGAAGACATCTCTTGTGCTCGCCAGCACATCCACAGGCATCCGCAGCAGCACCCGGGCCCCATGAGCACTGTGGGAGCAACCCCCCCCCCGCCCCTGTGCTCTCCAGCCCCAGGGTTTGGCTGGCAGCGCTCTGACAAACGAGTCCTTGGCTCACCTTGAAACAGCACTGCACCAGGAGAGCAACGGACGTGATGAAGTTCAGTAACAGCGAGAGCGCCAGCACCGGCGGCAGCCAGCGGTCAAAGGTGTGATTGGCCATCTCCTGGGAGAAAAGGAGAGTGCATCAGGGAGGAGAGGAGCAGGGAGGGAAGGGAGGCCCCTTCCATACCCCACTGCCCAGACACACACCTGCAGCCATGCCCCGTTCTCTCCTACCGTCTCTGCAGATTCACTGCCCATCTCCCTGGCCTGGACTTGGGCATGGGGACGAGAGGTGCCGGCATCCTCCTCCCGCACACACTGCTCCAGGAGGTCAGAGGGCTCCGGGTCACGCTGCCTCTCACTCAGCAGCTTCAGGAGCAGCTCCGTCCTCGAGACCATCTCGGCGCAGGCCTGCTGGAGCTGGGGCAGGCCACAGTCCTCGCGCAGGGCTCGAGCCACCTGTGCCATGAACCTGCGCAGGGCTCCATCTGGCACCAGAGAGTGCAGGTGGCGGCTGAGCAGGGTGTCAAAGGGGGGTCGTCGCATGGCCGCGCCACCCGGGGCCCTGGAGCTGCCCTGTGCCCTTGGGCTCGGGGGTTCCTGCTCCTTGTGATGCTCCTTGGGCTGCTGTGTGGTGGTGCTTGCAGGGGCGGTGGGTGGTCTCCCGCCGAGAGAGGAACGCTCTGCTGCAGCCGTGTCCTCTGGTGTGCTGCTGGCAGCAGGGGGGCCGTTTTTAGCCAGCAGAGCATAGAAGAAATGCTGGATAGTGCTCAGTCTCTGCTCTGCTCTACCCTCTGCTGCTGCGGGCTCTTCTTCTGCACCCTCGCTGCCCACTGTCCCATCGCTGTCCTGCTGCTTCTGCTCCTCATCTGTCCCAGCAGAGTCCTGTGTTGGCGATGGTGCTTCCTCCTCATTTTCTGCACTATCCTCATTCTCCATCCTGTCAGTCCTGTTGGTCTGCCCCATGGCGTGGGAATGATCCTGACTCTCGCCAGACCGGTCGAGATTTGGGTCCTCTGTTGGGTATTGTGCAGGGGGCTGTGCTGCAGGAGGGCTGGGTGTTCTCTGGTGACTAGAGACTGGGAGGACGTCGCTGAGGTTCATGCTCCGCACTGCTTCCCATAAGATGGACTCTGCGCGGGTCAAGCCTAAGCCCAGCTCCTGTTTCTGCCAGTTTATGGCTCTTCCTCCCTCCCCTACTGCCACCTCGTGCCCCTTGTCCCTCTGCGCTGGCCGGGCTGTGCTGGGGCTTTTCACAGTCAGGATGCTCATGGCCTTGTGCAGCTTGTTCTTTAGCTGTGCCACGAGCCCCTCTGCTAGGAAATAGAGCCTCCTGGTGTCGATAGAGCTGCTCCAGCCCCCGTGCTGAATGCTCCGCAGCATCAGCGTCAGCTCCTTGGCGGTGTTGCCCTCCTGCCTCGAGAGCTGCTGAGGGGAAGGTGCTGATGCATCGGGGCTGCTCAGGCTCCGGGCAACTGTGAGCGTGACGGTTCTCTGCTCCCCGAGTGAAGGCTCCTTAGGCTGGAGATTCAACACAGACCTGTTGTTCCCTTTCTTGGGGGGCACCGGTCCCATTAGGAGCCCTGGTGTCTCTGCCAGGGGAGCTGTAACACACCAAGAGCACTTCAGTGACAAAGAGCTTTCTGCCAGACACAGGCTCAGAAGGTTCACTATAGCTGGGGGACATGGGCAGGGCTGTGGGCCAGTTACCGCAGCGGGGAACAGTGCTGTTGCACACGCTCATGCAGTCGAAGCTGAGGGTCCTGCACGGGGTCTCAGTGCTGTGCTTGTGCTGGCAGAGGCAGCAGGCCGTGTCGATGGACAGCTTGCTAAAGAACAGAGGTTGTGCACAAACATTCAGCATCGCGACCCAGGGCAGCGACTCCAACCCAGGTGGCGCACAGAAACGCCTCAGGGGTCTGCTTCAGTGTCTGCTGCAGCTCTGGGAAACTTCCCCTCGCTCCCTGTGTCCCAATGGACACTTTTGTGGTGCTGGGTTTGTTCCCCACACAGACCCTTTGTCCCAGCAGCTGGGATCTGCTGGAGGTGGGAGCCAGCCCCCGCACACTCACAGTGTTTCCAAGCGGGATGTTCTCAGGAGCAGCATGAGCAGCGTCTGCCGAGTCACTCGTGTGGCACCCAGGTCCCTGCAAGGGTTTCAAGAAACACATTACATTTGAGGTGGCGGCACCAGCCTCTGCTCCGGGAACAAGCCCAGTCCCTGCGGCTTGCTGTGCCGGCCGCAGGGGGGGATCTGCTGCTACCTAATCCAGGAGAAAAGACGGAAAACCGTCTCTCTTTCCTGCTGTGCCCTGCTCCCACCCATGGGTCTGAACCAGAAGGGATCCTGCAGATCCCATGGGAGATGGATGCAGACAAGTTCGAGTCCCTGTCCCAGCACCGTGCTGGCTTTGCAGACGGGACACACCAGGACTGCTCAGCCTTTGCCTGGCTCTGCCGCTGCCTCCATCAGGAGAAGGGTGGGAGAAGGGTGGGATCTGCTGCTGGATCTCTGCTTTCCTGGCCACGGGGCACCCAGAGACACAAAGAAAGATCCACGGTAAGCCGTTAACAAGGAGTCCGTACTTACAGGTGAGTGACTGAAGGCAGCTTGAAGAACCACGTGTCCTCGATAACAGACAGGGGGTTATGGCGCAGGACCCTGAAATGAACCAACACCCCATGTGAGCGGGGGGTGCAGGATGAGAGCGGTGGCAGGGGCTCAGTGCTGCGTGTGTGAGGAAGGGCCTGGGGTGAAGGTTCCGAGCCTGAGCTGAAGGTTACAAGCTGGGGTAGATGCTGATGGGCAGATTCACAACATACATCAGGTCCTGACTATCTCCAGCCCAGAGAGCGAAAGCCCAGAAGTGCTGCTTCTGGAAAACACAACATCTCTTTCTTTCCTCCTCAGCTCACACTTTCTGGTGGCTTCCCTCCAACAGGACTTTCCCTATTTCTCACATTCCCACTGTCCCTGAGCGTTGTCTCTGGTCCTGCACCCAGCCAGGCAAAGGCGTGGCCTGACAGAGTTGTCATTCAGCATTGATGCTGCTGCCTACAGGGGGTAAGAGGTGAGCAGAACACAGTGACAAGTGCCACTGCTCTGAGCTACCCTTAGCCCTTGGAACACTCACAGCGTCTGGAGGAACTGCATCCCGTGCCATGCCCGGAAGGTGTCGCTCCGGATCTGGGTGATGAGATTTCCCTCCAGGCTTCTGGGGAAACAGGAGACCGCAGAAATGAATTGGGTCTGAGCCACAGGAAGCTGGAGAGAAGCAGCACTGATTTGTAGGAAACAGCCCCATCCAAGGTGGAACTGGGGGGAAACTGCCATTTTCTCTCCTGCTGTTTGTTAACCTGTCCAGGAGAGGAGATGAAGTGCATGCGTGCTGCATCTCTGCCTGCTCCAGGACACAGCAAGACTCAAGACACAGCTTCTATTCCTGCTGTGTTTGCAGAAGCCATGGCCCCATCCTGGCATGGCCACCAGCCACTCCCTGAGCTCCTGAGCTCGGCTGCTCCTTCAGCAGGAGAAACCGGAGGCCTTCTTCTAAAAATAACTGGAGCTTTTTCCAGCACCAGAAGGTTCTAAATGCAACCAGGCTTCACCAACCACACCAGGAAGGAACTCCCATAACTCACATGGTCTCCAGGAAAGGAAGGTTCTCAAAAGCACGTGCCTCGATCAACTGGATTTTGTTGTAAGATAAATCCCTGTTAACAGGAGAACACAAAACGCTGGTGACATTTGCACTGTCCCGGTTCCTCTCAGGTGCTTTGACACTGGCGGCACAGACGTGCCATCGCTCTCATTTCACGTGGGGTTTCTCTCCTGCACTGGCTTGCAGTGGTGTGTAACCGGAGGTCATGCTCCTGACGGGGGTGGCTGCAGCTCAGAGAGGTTCTCCCAGCTCTGATCCCACCAGGGGTATTTCAGGGCTGATTTTCCTCTCTGGTAACAGAGCAGGTCCTTTATGCACGCCCCAAAAACACCTCTTGAGTGCGGCCTCAGGGACAGGCTGTAACACCCTATGTGACCAACATGGGGCTAATTCCCTTAGCTCCTAAACGTCACCTCCCTGCGCAGCCCTGCTCTGATGTGTGCAGGAGTCCCCCTGCACCAAGACCCTGCTCTGCTCTGGCTGCAGCCGGGATACCCGCAGGAATAAAGCCCTTCCTGGGGCGGACTGTAGAGCAGCAGGGCCAGGGCAGGGGGGGAGGCCGTGCCCACCACCATGGACAGGGGGGTACTTACAGGTGCCTCAGCAGGAGCAGCCCCCCCAGCGAGCGCCTCTTCACCGCCAGCAGGTTGTTGTGCTGGAGGACTCTGCAAGAGACAGATGAACACGAACGGTGGCACCCGCGGCTCTCGGGTGCAATGGAGCTGTTAGGGGAGCAACCCTGCAGCAGTGTCACTGCGGCATCTCTCCGGGTCCCGCCACGACTCATCACGCTCATGGCAGGAGCAGGGGCTTGCTCCCAGCCTGCTGACCCTGACTGCAGCCCGAGCACGGGTTCCACAGGCCCAGGGATGGCCCAGTTTGGCAGGAGGTACACAGCCCAGGGCCCTGCTCGCCACGGAACAGCTCTGGGGATTCACACAGCTCCTTGCTGAGCAGCTCGGCCTTGGCTGCACGTGGCAAGCACTGGTGCGGTGCTCGGCACAGCCTCGGCTCAGCAGCCCGGCGGAGGGATGGGGATCCCGGAACCCCTGTGCCATGTCCGATACTGGTGGATACTCACAGCTTCTCAGCCCACAGGTATCCCTTCCACGGCTGAGGGCGAATGAGGGCGAGCGCGTTCCCAGTGAAATCCCTGCGGAGAAGCCATTGGCAGCGTCACCCCCAGCACAAACCCTTCCCCTGCCCCAGGGCTGCGGGGTGGCCGTGAGGCCGGCCTGGAGCTGCCCCCTCGGCGCTGCCCATCAGCCCTCCACAGGCAGCGTGTCCCTGGAGCCGCTCTCGGGGTGTCCGGGGCAGCGCCCGGAGCTGCAGGGCACTCACAGCACGGAGAAGGGCCGTTGGGGGGTGGCCAGGGGCACGCGGGCCAGGGCAGCGCTGCTGCAGTCCAGGCGGCGCCCGCGGCAGCGGCAGGGCCCCGGGCAGGGCCCCAGGGGCCGGGCCAGGCCGGGGGCCAGGCCCAGCAGCAGCAGCAGCAGCAGCAGCGGTGCCATAGCGACACAGGGCCTGAGCGCCTTTGGTACCACACGAGGCTCAAGGCTGGGGATCCAAACCAGGAGCTCTCGTCTGCGACCAGCAGCGGATCTGGCGCTGTGCTGGCCCTGCTGGGCAGATACAGCCCGGGACACCTCACACCTCACAATGGGGCCTCGCCGCAGGAGTTGCATCGGCCGGGCCTGCGAGCGTGCGTCCCCACTGTGACATGGGACAATCCCCTGCCGTTGGAGCTGGTCGCTCTGCCCCACCTGGGGCGTGTTACAGACCAGCACATCTACGCGTGCAGCACGTGTGCGTTCAGTACGTGTTTGTGCAGTCTGTGCGCGTCTGCCACGCGTGTGTGCTGGGTGCTCTCTGAAGGCAAGGGAAATCGGCTCGTCCCAGAACGATGTGTCCTCACTGGAAAAGCTTGACTCGGATCTGGCATCACTGAAATGACAGCAGGGACGTAACAGCAATGACATAACAGCCGTTGGGGAGGGGGTTGGAACTGCATGAACTGAAGGCGGGGCCTTCATCGCCTCCTTCACACTTACGACCACCTTGTACAAGCCTGACACCTCACCAGCAGTGGACTGAGCCAGGGCCACCTCCCCGCGGGGCAGGGATAGGAGCGGTGGGAAGCAGGCATGGGGCAGGGAGCAGGCAGAGAGGCGGAGCTGTTGCCTGCTCCTGCCCGTACCTCATCCTCGTCCCTGTCTGTGTCCTTGCTCCTGCTGCACCACTTGGGCCAGACTCAGGGGCTAAGACTCAGAGGCTGAGACTCTGTGGCTGAAACGGTGGCTGAGACTCTGGGCCTCAGGCTTTGGAGCTGATACCCTCAGACTCAGACTCTGCGGCTGAGACTGCTGCTGAAAGTCTATGGCTAACACTCTGGGATTCAGACTTTGGGGCTCAGACTGGGGCTGAGACTCTGTGGCTCTGACTCCGGGTCTCAGACTTTGAATGTCAGACTCTGTGACAGAGACTGTAATATAGACTCTGTGGCTGAGACTGTAGCTGAGACTCTGGTGCTCAGGTTTTGGAGCTGAGACTCTCAGCCTCAGACCCTGTGGCTGAGACTGTTGCTGAGACCGTGGGGCTGGGTCTCTGGGGCTGAGGCTGTGGGGATGAGACTCTGGGGCTGAGACTGTGGGGCTGTGTGGGGGTTGGAATGTATCAAAACTGTCAGAGACCATGGGAAGGAGGAACTACAGCAGGCAATTAAGAGCGACCCGTCCCTGACTGGTACTTGGAAGTTGTTGGAACTGGCAAGGAACAAGGATGTCGGAACTGGAAAGAGGGGAGTGCGCATGCTTTTGGAGGAGCAACCCCCATGCACCTCAGCTGAATAAAGCATACCTACTTTACAACTCTAAGGAGTTGGAGTCAATCCACGTATCACTTTCACCTGATGTAACCGCAAGGCAAACACAGATGTGCTCTGCTAATTGCTTGGAAGTATATAAATAATGGGTAACCTCTTCCCAGAGTCTCCCTGGTGATGCCTCCATGCATGACAGGCTGATAGTCCATAAACACTCAGGTAACGCCCCTGCCCTGCTTGCACCCATTACCCCCTTCTTTCCTCCCATGCCCACCACTTACTGAGGACTTCCAGCAGGATTTTCAGGCTCTCCCTGTCTCCCATGTTGACAGTTGCTTTGTAGATGCCACTGTCACTTTCCTGGACACGCTCCTCCAGCAGGAGAGATCCATCGGATGGACGGAAAACAGCTTGTCCTGCGTAGGGTGCGTGGATGGCTGGGCTGTGGGATCCCTTGTAGTACTGCAGGACGGTGTGGGAGCTGGCACCACTGAGGTATTCCCACTGCACGGAGTAGACCTGCGTGATGTTACCCAGCCCAGGAAGCAGCACTGGGGATCCCACAGCAGCAACTTTACTCTTGAGGGTTCCAAGATTTCTGCAGCCTGTTGCAAAGGCACCAGCAGCCCTGGAGGGCAGGAGAAGAGATGAGCAGGGGAGATGGAGCAAGTTGGCATGGCTGGAGAGAGGCTTTTTTACCCAGATGCCAGGGGCACACACATGGTACGTGGACTACTTACTTGGTCACAGCCTCTCACAAAGCCATCTCCCATCACGCCTCCAGGCAGGGAGACATTCCAGCTGGAGCAGATAGAGATGCCGAAACACAGCCCAGGATGCTTGGAGCTCTCTGCTTGCAGCGCTGCAAGCTTTTTCTACTCCACTTTTAGGTGGAGTTCCCTCCCAGTCCATGGCAGGAAGAGATTTTCTAATTCTGACCCAGTTTCCATGGTTCATTCCCAATTCCCAGCCTTGTTTGGGGCTGAAGGTGTCCATCCACTCCCAGCAGAGCTGCCTCTCCCAAATCACAGGGTGATTTCTGGGCTTGTCGTGACTTGGGCTCTCAGAGGCACTTGGGGACTTCAGGAGGAGGGTAAGTCACAGTGTCACCCCCTTCGTTTTTTGCCACACCCCTCCCCCCCCCCCAAAAAAAAAAAAAATCACAACAAAACAAACCCAGTGCTTTCTAGAAAAGCCAGGCAGAATCACAACCAAAGCCCTGGGTTGGGAAGTGGAGTCTTAAAAACATACATGTTTTAAAGGGTGAATGTAAAGGGTTTAAAGCAAGGAGCCAGCCCCAAGCAGAGGAGGCAGAAGAAAAGGTGTCTATGCACAGGCGGCGGTCCATCCAGCTACTTGCTAGCAGTGTTCCTGGTGCTCCTGGGGGCTGCTCTGTTGGAGTGCCAGGATTTCTCCTAAAGCTCCTCCTCTCCTGTGTAACTGCTCCACGGGAGCATCAGCTCCCAGAGACAGGGACCAGCATCAGCCTGTCCCAGCCCCAGCCCCGCAGCCAGGCTTCCCACCGGGACACAGGCTCCAGCAGCGCTGGGACACTGGGCAGGTGGGACACAGCACCCTGGCTCCCCACACACCTCATTTGCTTGCCGGTGCCCCGGTTTCTGCCTCATCTGCAGTGGCCGCTCACGAGTGTTTGCTGCCCATGCGGACAGCCAGAGAGAGGCCTCTGTGCCCTGCCTGCTGCTCCCGGCAGCTCTGCAGGTGGGAAAGGAACCAGTGAATCCAGCTCACCTGATGGCTTCCATCCCTCATCCCCACAGCACCGAGAGACGGCTCCTGCCGTGCCTGCCCGCCCCACCCGCCCTCGCTGTTACCCAGCCTGAGAGGAAGAAACAGCCTCATGGCTTAAAGTCCCCTCGCTCTGGGAAATCACTGTTCATGCAGAACATGCGGCACCACCAGCAGAAGGGAAGAGCAAACACTTCAGGGCAGGCAGCTTTCACAACTGCAATATCCGAAGCTCATCCGATGGGCACTTGGAGCTCACTAACACCACAGCATCGGAAATCTAGGTACATTCTAACAGGTTTCTTTTCTCTTTTAGATGCTCACCCTGAAAACTCTTTGTACCTTTGCACTCCAAGGCAGCCTTGTCCATATATAAGGACACACTGAGGCTTCTCCCATAAGTAAAACTGCAATAAATGTTGTGTTATTACATACTTCAGCCCCAGCAAAAATCTGCAGCACGCCCCTCCATATGATAAACTGTCAGAAAGTGAAAAGCAGGATGCCTTGTTTACCGATGGGTCCTGCCGTATTGTGGGAAAGCTTCGGAGATGGAAGGCAGCTGTATGGAGTCGTCAACGACAAGTTGCAGAAACTGCTGAAGGAGAGGGTGAATCGAGTCAGTTTGCTGAGGTGAAAGCCATCCAGCTGGCCCTGGACATTGCTGAACGAGAAAAGTGGCCACTACTTTATCTCTATACTGACTCATGGGTGGTGGGAAATGCCCTGTGGGGGTGGTTGCAGCAATGGAAGCAGAGCAACTGGCAAAGCAGAGGTAAACCCATCTGGGCTGCTGCACTGTGGCAAGATATTGCTGCCACAGTGGGTGCAGAACCTGGTGGTGAAGGTACACCACATAGATCTTCATGTACCCAAGAGTCAGGCCACTGAGGAACACCAAAACAGCCAACAAGTGGATAAAGCTGCTAAGATTGAAGTGGCTCAGATGGACTTAGATTGGCAACATAAGGGTGAATTATTTTTGGCCCGGTGGGCCCATGACACTTCAGGCCATCAGGGCAGAGATGCGACATATAGATGGGCCCATGATCAGCAGGTGGTATCGTATTCTCTTCCCTTGTTATTTTCTCTTATCATTGTTGTCGGTGGTGGTAGCGGTGGTGATTGGTTGCTGGACTGTTCTTGTCTCAACCCGTGGGAGTTGCATTCTTTCAATTCTCCTCCCCATCCCACTGGGAGCTGGAAAGGAGAAGAGCCCCGGGGGGGGGGGGGGGGGGGCCTCAATTGCTTCCAGCCCAGCACCACTCACTGGGAGTGAGTGAACAAGCTGTCTGGCTAGGTTTAAACCACGACACCTGTATAAGAACCACGTGTGAGAATGCAACAATTGACAGGTGTATCGAAGAAACAAATGCTACTAACTTTTGTGTGTGCAATTTTACCAAAATCATTGGATGCGATTTTAACTACACCACCCCTGTCACTATTTACCAACTAATACAAGATACTGATGTGTTATACCATGATATACCTGCCCTACAGATTGGACTGAAAATAGAAATGCTAAAGAAAATGTTCTATGACCCAGAGCTGGAGAAGATGATGCAGAAGGCCAACGAAACTTCTCACCAAGCAATATGGGCTGTTAAGCATAATGTAGAAGAAATCGAAGAAATCATCACTGACACCAAGAAAACTGGAGAGCACCACTGGTGGGAAGTTTTCTTGGTAGGGACAAAATGGCAACCTCTTACAGCAACTCAACTTTTTGATATACCGGTCTACCCTGTAATTGTGCTACTGCTGACTACGGCTTTATTAACAATTGTTCATTTGTGGACGTGGTGGAAAGTTCCTACAGTAGCTCAACAGGTGTGCATACTATGGACTGTGAAAAAGAATTTGCACAATTTTAAGGAAAAGGGGGGAAATTGAGACCAAGCCATTAGGTCTTAGCTGAAATAACTTGAGTTTTTAGCTTGAGGATGACTTAGCACCTGAACATGAAAGAGGGGACCCCTCTGAGGGTGGGAACCTGCCCCTCTGGTGAGGCATGATAAACAACGCGTTGGAATTCAGGCCTGTAGACGCCTTGCATCTGCTTCTGGCAATTGCTTCTAAGCAGGAACATCCCTGATGGCCCGGCGCCGCACCGCGCACCGCCTCCAACCACCACCGCCTGCAGTACCGAACTCTGCACACAGATGGCAGCAGCGAGCGGCGCCGCACCGCACCCCTCCACCGGCTGTGCTGGGTTTTGGCGGGGTACCCCCCACACCAGCCCCCCTACCCCAACCTTTGCAGACCCAGAATCAGGGGTTTGGAGTATTTTGGGGCCACCACAAGCACAGCCCGTCACGGAAAGGTCTTTTTAGGGGAATCAGCCCCAAATCCAGCTGTTACCCCCCTTTCTTCGGAGGAGCCCCCCCATCCTCTACTCACCTGCTCCTCTGCCGGATCATTGCCAAGCACCAGCTTTCTGTCCTGGCACCTTAGGCTTAGGAGCAGGACCTGGATATCTGCACTCTGGGATCTCGTGGTTTGAGTGTCATTTGGGGCTTTTGAAGGCGGTTTGGGGGCATTTCTGGAAGGTTTATGGCAGAGTTTGTGCTCTTCGTGCATAATTTGGGAAACTTCCCCTCGCTCCCTGTGTCCCAATGGACACTTTTGTGGTGCTGGGTTTTTTCCCCACACAGACCCTTTGTCCCAGCAGCTGGGATCTGCTGGAGGTGGGAGCCAGCCGCCGCACACTCACAGTGTTTCCAAGCGGGATGTCCTCAGGAGCAGCATGGGCACTGTGGGAGCACACACACACACACCCCCACCCCAACCCCCCCCCGCCCCTGTGCTCTCCAGCCCCAGGGTTTGGCTGGCAGCGCTCTGGCAAACGAGTCCTTGGCTCACCTTGAAACAGCACTGCACCAGGAGAGCAACGGACGTGATGAGGGTCAGTAACAGCAAGAGCGCCAGCACCGGCGGCAGCCAGCGGTCAAAGGTGTGATTGGCCATCTCCTGGGAGAAAAGGAGAGTGCATCAGGGAGGAGAGGAGCGGGGAGGGAAGGGAGGCCCCTTCCATACCCCACTGCCCAGACACACACCTGCAGCCATGCCCCGTTCTCTCCTACCGTCTCTGCAGATTCACTGCCCATCTCCCCCGCCTGGACTTGGGCATGGGGACGAGAGGTGCCGGCATCCTCCTCCCGCACACACTGCTCAAGGAGGTCAGAGGGCTCCGGGTCACGCTGCCTCTCACTCAGCAGCTTCAGGAGCAGCTCCGTCCTCGAGACCATCTCGGCGCAGGCCTGCTGGAGCTGGGGCAGGCCACAGTCCTCGCGCAGGGCTCGAGCCACCTGTGCCATGAACCTGCGCAGGGCTCCAGAGAGTGTCGGTGGCGGCTGAGCAGGGTGTCAAAGGGGGGTCCTCGCGTGGCCGCGCCGCCCGGGGCCCTGGAGCTGCCCTGTGCCCTTGGGCTCGGGGGTTCCTGCTCCTTGTGCTGCCCGTGTGTGGTGGTGCTTGCAGGGGCGGTGGGTGGTCTCCCGCCGAGAGAGGAACGCTCTGCTGCAGCCGTGTCCTCTGGCGTGCTGCTGGCAGCAGGGGGGCGTTTTTAGGCAGCAGAGCGTAGAAGAAATGCTGCGTAGTGCTCAGTCTCTGCTCTGCTCTACCCTCGGCTGCTGCGGGCTCTTCTTCTGCACCCTCGCTGCCCACTGTCCCATCGCTGTCCTGCTGCTTCTGCTCCTCATCTGTCCCAGCAGAGTCCTGTGTTGGGGATGGTGCTTCCTCCTCATCTGCGCTATCCTCATTCTCCATCCTGTCAGTCCTGTTGGTCTGCCCCATGGCGTGGGAATGATCCTGACTCTCGCCAGACCGGTCGAGATTTGGGTCCTCTGTTGGGTATTGTGCAGGGGGCTGTGCTGCAGGAGGGCTGGGTGTTCTCTGGCGGCTGGAGACTGGGAGGACGTCGCTGAGGTTCATGCTCCGCACTGCTTCCCGTAAGGTGGACTCCGCGCGGGTCGAGCCTAAGCCAGGCTCCCGTTGCTGCCAGTTTACGGCTCTTCCTCGCTCCCCTACTGCCACCTCGTGCCCAGGAGCAACGGGGCCGAGCCAGGGACTGAGCCCCGCGCTGGGAAGCAGCTCCTGGGCAGCCACGGCGTTAGGGCTGAGCGCTCAGGACCCAGAGTCCCCTCCAGCCCTTCCCCGCGGGCAACGCTCGGAAACTCAGAAGCCGTTAAAGGCACCCCACACCCGGCAGCTCCATCCTCAGCCGCTGCGCTGCCCTAGCAGCGAAGGGAAGAACCTGCTCGCCCGACGCTCAGCAGCGAGCGCCGGCTCCAGACCCCGCTTCCCGCACCCTCCTGCTCGGAGCTCCTCCGCTGCTTCCAGCGAAGCCTTCGTGGGCGCAGCCGAACGCGAGCAACCTCCGCGTCGTTTCCTGCCCCACAAAGAGCCGGCTCTCGGGGCACCTCCCGCAGCTCGCTCCTGTTCGCGGCCACTGCCCCGCCCCGGCCCGGCCCGGCCCGCAGGGGTTGTCTTTGCCGCGGGCGGGAGCGCACGGGCTCTGCCGGAGCTGCCGCGGCCGAGAGCCCCGGTCCCTCCTCGGCAGGGGCTGAAGCCTCGAGCCCCGCGTGCGCCCGGGGCACGGCCGTTACCTGCGCTGCGGCGGGGAGAGGCGGAGTGAGGCCGCGGCGGGGCCCGGGCGGCTGCAGCGCTCCCAGGGGCGCTCCGCGGCTCCTCCCGGACTCGGTCCCGGCACCCCCGGAGCGGACGCTGCCCTTGAAATCATTGTATCCTGTGTAGAATGTATAAGAATGATTAGATTTTCCTGTCAATACAATGATGGAAAAGAAGAAGAAACAAAGGAATAATCCTTCTTAATCAAACGCTTTGTTACTTCAAGGGGTGCTTTGTTTAACTACTCCAATGTCTCAAACGCTTTGCTAATTAAAGGGGTACTTTAACTGCTTGAATGCCTTCAGGGGCTTAGGTAATCAAGAGATACATCCTGTCACAGGATGAGGTGAAACTTGTGTATTGAATAAGTAACTATAGAAGAAATGGAATTTAGGAGGGCTAAGATGGTGGTTAAGCTTGTGATAGACATCCCCTGTTAATGCATTACCAAGGAATTCAATAACTTTTTAACACGTTTCTTCACCGGAACGTAAGACCCCAGCAACAGGAGGAAAACCATGGAAAGGTCATCTATAAGGGTTTCGTTATTTCCCTTGAAAGAAAAGAAAGGCAAGGTGAATAAACCAAATAAATCATCACGGGAGCCTTTAGATAATTTACCACCCTCTTATCGAGGGCGGGACTCGAGAGGTGATCGGGAAGGTGCTTACCCACCGATACCACCCGATCGTCGGCTCCCCCATCCTCCCCTCCATCCAGTCGCACCAGAAGTAAAATAAAAATACAGGAGAATGAAAATTTTCAGGAGGAAACGAAAGAAAAAGAAACTCTATTTCCCCTCCGAGAGGTGCCGATGGGAGGAAATGGAGGGGGGATTGGATTTGTAGCAGTACCCCTGAATACGAGCGATGTAAGAGCCTTCAAAAAGGAGACGGGTCGGTTATTAGACGACCCTTTGGGGGTTTCTGAACCATTGGACCAGTTCTTAGGTCCTAATATTTATACCTGGGAGGAGATGCAGTCAATATTGGGAATATTATTTACTGCGGAAGGAAAATCTACGATTAGGCAAGCTGGAATGAGGAACATCAAAGAGATGACATCAACAGGGTCCTCCCGGAGAGCAAAAATGGCCTAATCAGAATCCCTATTGGAATAATCAGAGTGGCCACGACAGGCAAAGCATGACAGACTTGAGAGAGATTGTAATACAGGGAATTAGGGAAGCAGTTCCAAGGGGACAGAATATTAATAAAGCTTTTAGTGAGCATCAGGAGAAGGATGAGTCTCCTACTGATTGGTTAGAAAGATTAAGGAAAACCTTGCAAATGTATTCTGGAGTGGATCCAGCTTTCCCAGTAAGAGAAGCGCTTTTAAAAGCTCAATTTGTGGCACGATCTCGGAGAGACATTAAAAACAAAAACAAACAAACAAAAAAAAACAAAACCCAAAGCTGGAGAAATTAGATGACTGGCAAGATGGCGGGTTACAGGATTTGTTAAGAGAAGCACAGAAAGCTAAGCTGGAGAGATGTTTTTCAGCCTGTGATATTGGGGGAATGAAATAAAGAGGAAAATAATATATCACAGGTACCTCCGAGAGGAGCACCCTCTCTATCTGTCCTATCAGATCTTGGTAAGGAGGAGGAAATTGCTGTCACTGGCAACAAGCAGCACATTCACATGAAACCAGAAGTACTGTTGCAGAGGCAGGCATCTGTAACCCCAGCAGAGCAGGGTGAGCAGCTGTAAAAAAAAAACGGGGAGGGGGGGAAACCAAGACGGGGAGCTTGCGCAGCTCCTGTGTTTGAGCACGGGGCAGGCAAACAAGTGGGAACAGACGGGACTGAGGGGTTGTTGAATGCCTTGAAACTGGTGGAGGAGGAATGTCGGGCAAAGGTGGGGGAAGTGGGTTCTTCTCCTATGGGACCGGATTGGTGTGTGTGTTGTGGGGAGTTTTGGACGTTGGAAGTGAGACTGCCCGGGGCTGGGGGGGGGAGGAGTGCCATGGGGTCGCTCCGGCGGCTGAATTGGAACTAGGCTGACAAGGGACTTGGGGAATCTACCCTAGCAGATCCACTGGTTAAATTAAAGCTAGGGTCTAGAGGAAATAAAGTGGAATTTTAGTGGACACAGGAGCAACTTATTCGGCGTTCATTCAGAGGGAAAAGAATTTGTTACAGACGTGGGAGCTACTGGCCACCAAGGAAAAGAAAAAAAAACAAACCGAAAAAAAAAAAAAGGCATAAAGAGGCATTCTTTCTGAAACCCTTAAAGTACAAATTGGGAAAACAAATAGGAATAAAAAAATAAAATTTTTATGCATGCTAAATTCTCCAAAATCTTTATTAGGGCAAGAAGCAACATTTAAAGAAGGCAAAATGGAATTAAGAGTTAAAAATCAATTAATTGCAGTTTTGAGTTTATCTTTAATTCAACAGAAAAAGCGAGCAGGAGGACCTCCCTGAAATAGAAGAAATCCTCAATCCAGGTATAGCTGGGAGTATGGGCATCTGAAATTCCAGGTGAGGCAAAAAATACTTTGCCTGTTAAAGCAGAAATCAAAAGAGGGGCCTGCCCAATTAGAATAAAACAATATCCCCTAAAATTGCCAGAGAGGGAATTAAAATAGAAATTCTTAACTGAATGTGAATTGGAATATAATACTCCTATCTTGCCAGTAAAGAAAAGTTGCAGACTGGTTCAAGATCTCAGGAATCAACAAATTTGTAGAGGATATTCAGTAATAACTGATCCGTATACCTTATTGACTAAATTGAATCAGAAATGGTTTGCCGTCTTGGATTTAAAGGACTCTTTCTTTTGCTTACCATTGGCCAAAGAAAACCAGAATTTATTTGCTTTTGAATGGGAACAACCTGACACAGTAAAGAAAACCCAATTAACTTGGGACAATATTACCTAAAGGGTTTAAAACAGTCCAGCGATTTCTGGAAACCAGTTAGCACTGGAACTAGGATCATGCAAACCACCCACTCAGACGGGGACTCTGTTACAATATGTGGATGACCTATTAATTGCCACAGAAACAAAGGAAGAATGTGTCCAGTGGATGGTGGGACTATTGAATTTTCTGAGACTGAATGGTTACTGGGTAACCAGACAAAAGGCCCAACTAATCCAAACCCGACTTTCCTACCTAGGATATGAAATAACAGGAGGACAGAGGAAACTTGGAACGGCTAGAAAAGAAGCCATCTGTCAAACTCCACGACTGCCAACCATCAAGGAGGTCCAGATGTTCCTGGGAATGACTGGATGATGCAGACTTTGGATGCATGATGATGGTGTTCTGGTAAGACCCCTATATGAACTGTTAAAAGAAACCCCTCTCTCTTTGGAATGGACTGATTCAGCAGAGGAGGGCTTTAGAAATTTAAAGACCAGAGCTAATGAGAGCTGCAGCTCTGACTTCTGGATGTGACTAAATCCTTTTGGCTACATTCCTATGAAGAACAGGAAATAGCTTTGGTGGTCCTTACTCAGAAACGAGGACCCTGTAAGAGAGCAGTGGTGTATTTTTCAAAACAGCTGAATGAAGCGAGCAAAGGATGGCCCGGATGCCTAAGAGCTGTGGCAGCAGTTGTCACGAATATTGAAGAGGCTCGCAAATTCACCTTGGGGAAAAAAAAAAAAAAAAAAAAGAAAGAAAAAGAAAAAATGAAAATTACTGTGCTAGTGCCCCATGTTGTATCAGCATTCCTGGAACAGAAAGAAGCCCACTGCTTATCTCCCGCATGTTTTTTAAAATACCAGGCCACCCTTGTGCAACACGATGATATAGAAATTGTGGTCACTAATGTTGTGAATCCAGCAACTATTAACACACGACTGCTTGGCCACTATATGAAACTATATTCAAGCCGACCAGATTTGAAAGAAACCTGGAAGGTGCCCTGGAATTGTCTAAAGACAAAAGGATAAATATTTTGACTGATTCTAAATACGCATTTGGTGTGGTCCATGCACAGGGCGCCATCTGGAAAGAACGAGGACCTCTGAACACACAGGAGAAACAGATTACACATGTTACAACTACTGAAAGCTGTTCAGCTACCTGAGGAAGTAGGTATTATGCATTGCCGAGGGTATCAACAAGGTGAAATTTGGCCAATTTCAACAATCCAAACTCATTCCCTTAATCCCTGATGGCAAATTAACAATTGAGAAATCTAAACCTAGATATTCAAAGGAGGATAGAAAATTGATTGGAGATCTCAAAGGAGAGGAAAACAAAGAAGACTGGGTTCAGATACCTGATGGGCGGATTGCGATCCCCTATCCAACTCTGGAAGCTAGTTCAGGAGGAACGTAATAAAACTC